TGGCTTAACTCCCCGATGTATGTAAACATTCTTGTGATGACATTTCAGGTCCATTTAAAAATATTACTGCCCTAATTGGTTTGGCTCAGTGACTAGAGCGTCGGCCTGTGGAATGAAGGGTCCCAGGTTCGATTCTAGTCAAGGGCACATGCCCGGGTTGCGGACTCTATCCCCAGTGGGGGGTGTGCACAAGACAGCTGATCAATGATTCTCTGTCATCACTGATGTTTCTATCTCTCTCTCCCTTCCTCTCTGAAATCAATAAAAATATATTAAAAATAGATATATAAATAAAAAATAAAACTGTTACTGATTCTGCCCTGGTCAGGTGGCTCAGTTGGAGCATCGTCCCATACACCAAAAGGTTGGGGGTTCAATTCCCGGTCAGGGCACATACCTAGGTTACAGGTTCGACCCCCTCTCTCAAATTAATAAAAACATATCCTTGGGTGGAGGATTAAAAAGAAAAGTGTGACTGATTCTCAGGATCCATTTGTCAACAGGTGTTTTCTTTCTTTCTTTTTTATCCTGAGGATTTTTTCCCATTGATTTTTTCAGAGAGTGGAAGGGAGAGGGGAGGGAGGGAGACAGGAGAGAGAAACATGGATGTGAAAGAGACACATTGATTGGTCGCCTCCCTCGCACACACCCTGAATAGGGGCAGGAACAAACCCGCAACCCAGATATGTGCCCCTGACCAGGAATCTAATGCGAGACCCTCTACTGCGTGGGCTGACACTCTAACCACAGAGCGGAGTGAGCTAGGGCAACAGGTTATTTTCTTACTCCACCGTTATCAGAGCACAAGCGCCACCTTGTGGGGAACTGAGGAACTGTTTGGCCACTAAAAGAAGTGTTGGGGGCGGCTGCACCACCACATCCTCTACTCTGATCTGGTCTGAACTCAGAAGGCAGGGGCAGGGGCTGGGGGCATGCACCCACCTTGACCTGCTCATTTGAGGTGACAGCACAGAAGACAATCTCCGTGAAGCCCTGGGTGGGAAACATGCGGAAGCAGATCCCACCGATGACGCGCCCGTCCTTGATCAGGGCCAGAGTCTTGTGCTTCCTGAGGGGAGAGGGGACAGGTCACGCTCCCTACCTGCCCCCCAATGCTCCTCAGGTCCCCACAGCCGTGGAGGGCTGAGCTGTATTCAGGGCTGGGAACCGAGGAGGAAGAACCAGAGGCTGGAGGAAGAGGCCTAGGGAGGGGTGTGGAGGCCAAGGACAGGCGCCCGGATGTGGTGCCCTGGGGTGGGGGCTCTCCTGGGGACGCACGGGTCGAAGACGAGGCGGGCGATATACTCCTTGGGCATGCGTGGCAGCTGATGGGAGAAGACATTCTGCAGCCCCACGAGCCAGAGCAACACCCGCCGGTTGGCCTTGGGTGTCAGCGAGTTGCCGATGACGTGGAATTCGATGATGCCGCGGCGCTCCTCCAGGCGGGCTGTCTCGTCCCGGGCTGCATTGGCTGACAGGAGGCTCGTCTGGGCACCAGAAAAGGGGCAGTGAGCAAGGACCTCAGGGCCACCAGGGCTGCTCTCCACCCCTGCTGGCCAGCAAGCCAGGCCGCCTACCTCGGGCCCCAGCATGGCAGCAGGGTCAGTGATGGTGAGCATGACCTCGTTGACCAGCTCCATGGGGATGTCGCCCATCACACGGAGCCGCTTGGCGTCCTCCAGGGTCAGGTTCTCTGGGAGCTTCCTCTTCTCACCTGCTGGGGAGGCCGGCAAGGTCTTCCAGGGGTAGGCAGAGAGGCTGGGGGAGGGCTGAGTGGGTGTCAGCGTCAAGTACCCACCTGGCATGGGCTCAGCACCTCCAGAATCCAGACTCAAGGAGCTATTGCTGCCCCCACCCATGGTGGGGCTGAAGATGGGGGCGCTGGGAACGACGGCTGCACTGACTGCAGCTGAGAGAGACAGGAGAGTCGGGGGGGGGGGGTTTCCAAAGGTGTTGGTGGGTCCTAAAAGGGGATCTGGACCCTCCAACCCCCAGTGGAGCCCTCCTGCATTTTTCCCTCCTGCTCTTCGAAGCCCCTCTTCCACAGCGGGGGGCGGGGTCACCTGAGCTCAGCCAGGAAGGCCAGGCAGAGATCTTGTAAAACCTGCTGTGGCACATACCTGGCCGGGGCACCAGCTGGGTCCCCTCCGAGGGTGGCATGGTGAAGCCTGACTCCCAGATCGGAGAGTTTGCCCCGTAGATCTCCTCCTCCAGCATGGACAGGAATCTGTGGGAGGGTACAGTCTGTCCCACAAGTCTAACCAAGGGAGCAGCCTGGGCCAGACACCAGGGGGGCTGGAGGTGGGTCAGAGAGACCGACCCTCTTCTCAGGAACTGGGAGCCTAGGAACAGAGACAACCTCTGCCTTCGGACCAGGAGGAGGTACAGTCCCCTGCCTCCTGGGAGACCCCAGCTGAAGGTAGGAGGACAGGACAAATCCAGGACAGAGACCAGAGGCCCAGTTTGCCATCGTGTACAGAAGAGGGAGGCAGGGTCTGAACGGATGCCACTCTGTACTGTGTGACCAGGCCGGGCACCAAATCACCCTGGGCCTCAGTATCAAAATGGGGGTCAGAACCCACCCCCTCCTGCCACCTTACTCCCACCTGGTGGCAGAAGGGACACTGGAGGTTCTGGATTAGTCAGTAAAGGCTTCCTGAACTGGAAAGCTATGAGCAGGGTTAAAATAGGCCCCGTGGGAAATAACTGGTATAAGACATATACCAACTGTAGACACCAGGGGTGCGGGCAGGGGTAGTGTTAGCACTCGGGCCATGTATCTGCCATCCCCTGACGAGTACAAAAGGCAAATGCTAACAAGTTGCGTCTGGGCCGTGGGCAAGTCGGCCAGATAGACGCCCAGATCCCAGAAGGCTTATGGAGGGAGAGGAGGGACCAATCCAGGAAGCCTTCCTGGAAAAAAGGGGACAACAGGGAGGATGTGAACTTGGGGCACAATCCTGATAGGCCAGAAGGAGCCTTACTTGGGGAAGTGGGTGAGGATGAGGGTCCTTTTCTCGGGCACCAGCTTGTCCTTCTCCACCCGAAACTTCTCTAGCAGCTGCCGCCGGGTGACGGTGAAGATGGAGCGAAGCAGGCTTCGCCCAAAGACGTGAGTGGTCTCGTAGCGGGGGAGGCTATCGCAGCTCTGGGGCACGTGGCAGTAACAGAGCCATCTGCGGAAAGTGGGGAGGTGATGAGAGCGGAAACCGCTGAGCCTACGAGCGTCTCCCCGTGCTGTTCCTGGCTGGGCCTACCTGGTGTAATTGACCTTGTAGGTAGCCACGTCCTCAGCCTGAGACCTCTGCCGAAATTGAGCAGGTGTCTCAAGCTTCCAGTAGTTAAGGCAGAGCAAGAACATCTTCGAGAGCTCGAACATTGTCTGCCGCTCCCGGGGAGCCAGATGACTGAACTTGTACTGCACAAAGTTTAGCACACCCTGAGAAGGGGTGGGAGGGGGGACAAAACCAGGAAGGAGGTGTGAGCAGCCAGCATGGGCTTCCTGTCCAAAACTAGGGGTTTGCTGAGGGCAGGGGCAAGGCTCTCCTCTCATTCCGAGGCTCTCTGTGAAGAGACACTATGCCCCCTCATGACCCCTATGCACACACTGAGGTTAGCACAAAACATCCTCCCTTCCTGGAACCTCTCCCCTGTTCCGTCTCCTCACTCCTCCAAGATGCCCCCAATTCTCTTGCCCCCTTCTTCATCCCACCTGCTCAATATTAGGCTTCTCAAATGGGGGGCTGCCCAAAGACCCCTCCACCACCGGCCGGGTCATCTGCAGGATGCATTTCCGAAGGAGCTGGAGGAAGAGGAAGAGGGAGGGGCAGAGGTCAGCAGAGATCAAGAGCTGCAGACCCACCGGCCTCCACACCTTTGCTCACTCACTTGCACGTGGAGAAAGCTCACCTTGAAGAGGTAGAAATAGACCTGCTTGGTGTCTGTGTCTTCCTCCTTGTGAACAGACATGAACAGATTCTCCACATCCACCACCATCCCCAGCAGCCGGTTAATCTCCTCCTCTGACACATTCTCCAGGTGGGACACATGGTCCGCTGCAAGAACAGGTGGTAGAGTTGGGGGAAATGGACAGAAGAGATCAACAGGACGTCCGGCCCATCTTCATCACCAGCCAAGATACACCCCGGTCCCTCTCTGACCGGAAACGAGACTGACTATTCCTGTGTCAGCCCCTGGGTGGCCCCTTGTATTTCTGTATTGGCAGATTTCCTTTCTCCTCCTTTGGGGCATACACCCTCCCCACCCAATCCCTCCTTAGAAGGCACCCTTGGTTTTTAAAAGATGAAGCTCTGTGGCACTTAAGCCACCCTGCCCAAGCAGGAGCCAGCACCTGCTTCTCCCCCGCCCAGCTCCAAGGGCACTGCCTGCCTTACCCAAGGGGTGCTCACAGCTGCGGCACAGCTCACTCAGGTTGGCAGCTGGCTGCTGCAGGTCCATGCGGGGTGCGGTGGGGGGCTTGGGGTTTTTCCAGCCATTACACTTGCAGGTCTCATTGGCCTGGAGGCAGAAGGATCCGTCAAAAAGCCTGTCTGTATCCCAGGGACGGACGAGGAGCCTCTCCCCAGCCAGAGCTTCGCTTCCATTGCCACCCAAGT